GACCCTGGGCATAGAAATATATTTCAGATGCTGAGGAGTTACCTAAATGACTCTTTTCTTTTCTGAAGGCTTAAATTTAACTCTGCTGGAGAAATTGATATACGTTTATGAATGGTTAGTAGTTTGGCAGTTTTAGAGGCAGCATGGATGAATTCAGGTTGTTAACAAAAAAGAATATGTCCGTCCGTGTTTGGCCGAGCGTTGACACTTGTGAGGCTCTTAGACTTTCCGTTTTTTAATTTCTAAGGGTGACCGAGTGAACCAAGGCGGCCCCTGTGGGGTATTATGATATCCTGTGAAATCAGCCAGGCCACTGTGGCGCTTATTAATTACACAGATGTCTATTTTGGCAATGATGGATGATGTTCTCATTGACATAGGCCATCCATGTGCTCTGGAGGCATGGCATTTCCACAGCAGGCAGGCCATAGGCGTGTTTGCAGGCTGGAGAGAGGGGCCAGACTGTGTTGGGCAAGTTCACAGAACAGCTCCCAGGGAGAGCAGAGCACTTACGCTGGTGTGTTAGTGCTATTCCTTGGTTTGAGGGGAACTCCTCAGTGCAGGGCTTCTTAACTTGGGATTCATGGGTGCTGCTGTCTGGGAGTAGAGTTCAGGGTGAACTCAAGAAGAAATTATGGCTTTATTTTCACTAACCTCTTACTGGAATTGAGCATTTTCTTCAGTTTAAAATTGTGTAGTTTTTTTTTTTTTTAGAGTGAGGCAATTGAGGTTAAGTGGCTTGCCCAGGGTCACACAGCTAGAAGTACCAAGTGTCTGGTCTGAGCTGGATTTGAACTCGGGTCCTCCTGGCTTCAGAGCCTGTGCTTTCTCCACTGTACCACCTCACTGCCCCTTCCTTCATTTTAAAAGCATCTTTTGAGAAGGGCTTTCAGCCCCCGAGAAGGCCATGGAATGGAACAAGAGAAGAACCTGTGCGGAAGAGGCAAATCCTTGGTTTCTCCTCTAACTAGATGGTGAAAGGGTTCAGCGGCTTTAGGAGTCTGCTTAAACTGGCCATGAATGAACCTTGGGCACCAGCTTCTTCAACATCTCCCAGATTTGATGTTGAAACTCTCAGTGTTTTTGCCATAATTATTGAAACAAAGTTGCTCACGTGACAAGGTGGTGGTCCAGATTGTGGCACTAAGTTGCTGCATTCGGGCCCACCTTGGCCCGGGTGCCTGAGCTGCTGGCTCCCAGGGCCTTTCTTGCCTTAAGTAGAGGAAGAAGAGTTTCATCTAAGCCAGTTTCTTTTTTCTCCTCTTAGCTGCATAATTAATGTTTTCCCCGCATGATTTTTGGAAATAATTTTGAATTGTGCCTCTTTGTTGTAAAAGAGATTTGGGGTGAGCTTCCCACTTCTGAGAGCAGGTGTTCCGCTCCCAGGAGAGGGGCTGCTCTTTGAGTGTGAGGGGGCGCTGGACGGAGCAGGCCTCTGGGAGCAGAGTGACCGAGAGCTCTAGGTTTGGGTGTCTGCTATGCCGCCAGCTCGCTGGGCAGCCTGGGCCGAGTTACCCGATGTCTGAGCCTATGAAATGAGAGTGAGAGACTGTGTGTGAGATACAGGGAAACATTTTAAATTTTATTATTTTTTTCAATTAGCTTTAACTAGCATTTTCTTTCCCTCCCATAAACCCCGTTGGGGGAGAGAAAAGGAAAAACAAAAGCCTTGTAACGAACTCGGCTGGTTGAGCAAAACAAATTCCCCCGTTGGCCACGTCCACGACGTTTGTGTCCACTTCCGTCCCCTGAGCCCCTGACCACCTCCATAGGAGGGGAGCGGTCGAGTCTTTACTGTGGGGTGTGAATTGTTCTGGTTCTTCTCACTCCCCTCTGCATCAGAGTATACAAATGTTCCCAGGTGCCTCTGAAACCCTTCCCATAAGATACATGGTAAACCAGCAAGTGCCGATGGTGTATGAGCTATTTGATTGAATTGAAATGGAAAACAAATGCACCTTGTAACTTAAATCCATCTTAGCTGCAAAATTCATTTCCCCCTCTAAGATAACAGTGATTCAAGGATTAGACTTGGCTGAAAAACCTCCTATTAAATAAACTCAAGAAATAAACTTTAAGCTTCCTGGATCTGGCTCCAACTTGCTTTTCTGGTCTCATTTGTTTGTTTGTTTTTCACGGAGATCCCAGACTGGTGGATCAGGAGACTTGTGTAGATATAATTATCTGGAGCTAGCAAGGCATTCAACAAAGTCCCTCCCAATCTTATGGGTAGATTGGAGCTGTGTGGCCTAGCCGATTGTCTATTAGGAGGAGGACATGCAACTGTTTGCAGGCTCTACCCAAAGAGTTGTTACGGTTTGATGCCAACTTAGAGGGAAGCATTCAGTGGCTTTTCTCAGGGATTTGAACTTTGTAACATTTTTGTCAGTGACACAAATAAAGGAATAAATGACATGCTTATCAGATTTGCAGATGATGCAAAGCTGGGGGGGAACAGCTAACACATTGGAAGATAGTCAGAATCTGAAAAGATCTTGGCAGGCTAGACTATTGGGCTGAATCGCATAGGACCAAATATAATGGTGATAAATGGAATGTCTTTTCAGTTTAAAAAACCCTCAGACTTCTCCAGCATAAGATGGAAAGGGGGCAGGCACAGCTGGGTAGAAGTTTGTCTAATAGAGACCAGGGGCTCGGGGTAGGGACTGGAGTCCTAACGTTACTGTGGGCTTGAAAGCTCAAGATGACGGGCCCAAGAATGCCGATACCAATGTAGGGCATTAGGAGGCGCATCCGAGACGAAGATCGCCCTGCTGCCTCTGCTGTACACAGGCCGCACAGGGAGTCTTAGAAGGCAGTTTGGGTGGTATTTGAGGAGGGGAGCCAGCATGGAGAGGGGCCTCTAGGCCCTGTCATGAGGCATTAAGCTGAGAAGAAAAGACTTTGGGGATTTGGATGGCTGTCATCTGGGAGAGTGAAAGTAGGTTTCTACTCGTCGGTCCCAGAGAGCGAGAGTGGGGTCAGGGTGGTGGAGAGGCAAAGCCATGCGTGGCTGAAGGACAAGCCTGCTGGTAGAGATCCATGGAAGTGGCCTGGGCTCCCTCATGGCAGAGTCTGAGAAGGGCTGAAAGCAGGAACTTGTTGGCTCCCTGTGGGCTGTGTTGTCAATGAGACTGGGGTGGGGGGTGGTAAGGTAGTGAGTAGAAGAGACTTTAAAGCGTCCTCCAGCCTGCTGTGTGTGCGCGTGTGTGCGTGTGCGCCTACCTGGGAACAAACTAATTATTGGTTTTAACTTGTAGGTGGATAAAATCCTTCCGATGGCAGATAACAGGTAAGTCTTGACCAAGTGGATTTTCTTGATGGAATTCTAAAATAGAGCTAAGTAAGTCATATGTCTCAAATCTGTTTGAACAAGTGCCATTGCAGCAGACATTCTGTTTGAGGACAAAGAATAACATGTAAAAGATAAAAACAAACCACAGTCGTTCCCAAGCTCTGCAAGTCCAGAATGATGTCCTGAATAACATACCGAGAAATGTGTATGAAAAGCCCTTTGGAGTTGGCTGGGGCCAGGTGGCATAACGCATAGAGAGAGAGAAAAGGCTGGGCTGGGAGTCAGGAAGGCCAGTGTGTGAATCCTGCTTCTGGCACGCATTAGCTGTATGACCGGACAAAGCACTCTGAGCCTCGGTTTTCTCATCTGTCCAATGGGAATAACACTGCCTAGCTCAGAGTTTTTAGGATCAAATGAAATAAATATGTATAAAGTGCTTTGCAAACCTTAAAGTGCTATATAAACATTGTCAGAAGGTCAGTGTGGCAACCTGTCACTGGCTGCCACCCCAATACGGTCGTTTTTCTTATTTTGTTGGCTGTTGTGGTACATGGCTGATTTCTTCCAACAAGTCCCTGAGAACCTTGGGAATTTTAAGTCTTGTTTTGCTATTTTTAGAAGAATTAAAATCCCATCAGGTTTACTTTGTTTCTAGCATAGTCATTCATGCTGTTGGCAGTAGTTTTCTTTTGTCTTTGACTCTCCATCAGTAAATGGTGAGGGCATGGCAGGTTAGGCGGGATTGGAGGGGACTTCAGGGGACAGGGGAGTGTCTGTTTTTTGGAAGCTTTGACCAAAGTTGGAAGTTAGAAGACTTTTAAAAATAGTATGTTTCCAACAAATTAGCATGCCTTTCTTCCTCAACTTAAGGCACTTCATACAGCAAGCTGTTAATTATGCTGCAATGGTTTTAATAGTTTTAAAAAATCCACTTTGGTTAGGGTTTTTTATTTTTCCTGTTATGGAGCTTTCCTTTAAATTTTAATTTTTACAATTTTTTTAGTAATTCAGAAGATGTCCCTTCAGATTCCTTTGAAACTGCTAAAACTGACAAAGGTAAGGTCATACTGTAGGGCTGATGTTTAGGGGTGTGAGGATTGGGGATCAAGAAAGTTTCAGATATTGAAGGATTATGTGGACAGTCTTAGAGAACATTTAAAAGTTTTTACTCATCCGCTGTTAGAGAAAATTCAGTATCATAAGTATAGAGTTTAGTAAGAATCATAGAGTAATTGGTAGTAATATGGAAGTGAGGTCTGGCTTTAATTACTCGCTTTTTCTTGTCAATCCCAAATGAAGGTGCCTAGCCCCCAGGGCTCCTTGCCTAGAGAACTCCGGCTGTGTGCGACTTTCCAAGCTCTGTGTACCCTGGTTAGGTGGGGAGGTCAGCTAACTGGTCAAATGTCTGTCCAGCTTATAACTCGTGCTTCTTTCTGGTTTCCGTGGTGATATCTCTTTTAAGTAATCCCCGAAGGGCTGGGCCTAGGATGATGACTTAACACAACTCCATTTTGTTATCCCGTTCCTGGATGTCTGGGAGGATCAGTAACAATGTAAAGTGAAGGCCATAAGGATGGACGTGGCTTATCTCTGAAGAAGCAGCTGTCCTCCACTTCCCTCCATCTTCACTGTCCCTGACCCAAGCCTAGCAGTCATTCCAGGGGCCGAGTCGTGATAGCATTCACATGTAGCATTGTCCAAAGGAATCCGCTTGGCCAACATGACACCACGGTTTTCCTCGGCTTGGTTACCTTGTATATTTTTATCCTGCTTTTCAGCCCAAACTTCACAGAACTCTCGTGTTCTCCGTGGGTCAGGACGTGTGAGATTAAAGAGCTACAGTGGAGACAGAAGGTCTCTGGCTCTGCCTTGGGAAGGGATTGCGCACGCTGCCCTCGGAGGGCTGCTCAGGAGCTGTGCTCTGCGCCCGTCCGGTTGCTGGTCGTTTTCTGCCCAAGGGGAGCTGCCTGGTTCTTCTGCCTCCGAGAGTCTGCAGGGTACCACTTGACGTGTGTTCCTTCCTGCAGATTCAGGGCCGCGCTTTTCTAAAATTAAGACCTCCCTTCTGTGTGCTAGGGGCCACGCTTGTTTAGTAGTGCTTGTCTTCACACAGGCCATGACTCTCAGGACCTCAGGGAACACAGCTTTAACACTGCATTCTGTTCATAGAAAAACTCACGGACCAGGTGATGCAGAGTCCCCAAGTGCTGGCTGCTCTCCAGGAGCGACTTGAGAATGTGTCCCATACACCTTCAAGCTACATTGAAACGTGAGTCCTGGGGACCACTTCTGGAAAGCAGCCTGGTTTAAGGGGGAAGGAGAGAGCCCTTAGAAAAGAGGGAAGTTTTACAGTTACGGGTCAGAAGGGCTTTGGGAGAAGAGGGAGAAATGTTGGGCTTTTTTTTTCTATCATATAATGTCTGTTTTCCTTCATCATGAGATGGAAACAAAGCTGTAGAATTTTTAGTGGAAGGCACAGACGGTCAAAGATCCACCTGAACTGACTTTTCAGAGCTTGGCCTCTCCTGGCTGCTGTTCTCAGACTTCCCTGGGACAGAGGCAGCTGGGCTCCAGCTGGTGGCAATGGTTGCAGCTCCAGCAGCATTGATGTGCAGGCCCAGTGGAGAGTGTTACTGGCAGGGAAGGTCTGCTGAGCCCTCTGGACCAGTGCTTGGGGGAGTATGACACCTTTCCTCTCCTGCTCTGTGTTGTCAGGTTACCCAAAGCGGTCAAAAGACGCATCGATGCTTTGAAACAGCTTCAGGTGAAATGTGCTCACATCGAGGCCAAGTTCTACGAGGAAGTGCACGATTTGGAGCGAAAATATGCAGCCCTTTACCAGCCTCTCTTTGACAAGGTAGGACGCTTTTGCCCAGTGAAAGCTCAGTGCCTTCTTTCTATCTTAAAATTTGGGGACTTAGAGCAAAGAACTCATTACATGTTGTCTCCAAAATAAGAACTATACTGTTCGTCTTCATTCTGATGCAGAGACGGGATTTTGTCACTGGTGATGTTGAACCCACAGATGCAGAATCGGAATGGCCCAGCGAGAATGAAGAGGAGGAGAGACTGGCCGTAAGTGAGGACTCCTCAACATTCACGCTCTGAGAGTAGAATCTTGTCTCCTTCTTTGTCCTCATTTATTAGTTTCCCCCAAAAAAATGCTTCCCCTCGTATAGAAAGAAGATGTGTGGTTATTGGAGGGAGTAATTTTTAGGCAAAACTTGCTGGGAGTAGTCAGCAAGATGTATCAATTAGCAGCAGACACAAAAATTAGAAGACCAAAAATCCTTGAAGCAAAGTAACCAGAAAGAAAATGCCACATAACCCTCAGGAGCTGGAAAGGAACATGGCTGGGCGTGTGCTTACAAGGTAGTTAGGAAGCTGAGAAAAGTAGGCGTGAGTTAGGGAGAAGAAACAAGATGGAGGAGTTTTTATGAAATTGATTAGACCTTGGTGGTGCTAGTTTGGGAAGCCTTGATGGAGATTAGACCTCAGGGGTGTTTGGGGGGAAAAGGGGGGCCATGCAGATCGGCATAGTCCTCTCCAACAGCCTGCTAGGCAATGCAGACAGTTGATCTAAAATGATAGGTTATTTGATGGAAAGGGTAATAAATATAAAGTGTATTTAACCACTGCAGAAGTTCTTTTGTTAGTGAGGAAAACACCATCGTGTCAGTAACTCTTTGCACTGTTCGTGACCTGTTGGCAGCCACTTTCTGATGATGGGTTCCATTCCAGTGCTACAGTAACATCCCAGAGTTCATCCGGATTGACTCGTGTCTCTCTGGATTGACACTGGGGGGACAGCTGTTCACTTTGCTTGTGTTGACTTTCTGAGGGCTTTAGGAGCCAGCATCAGTATTCGATCTTTGGCAGAATGCGCTCTGACAACTCTGGGTGGCATTTGTGTTTGCTGGGGTTTTATGGTTCAAAACTCAGTCCTTGGCTTTTCGTATTGGATTAATGCATCTTGTTTTTCCACCACACTTGCCTTCCAATAATCTTCCCTCGTATCATCTCTAACAAAACAACAAAAAACCCCATAGAAATTGTTCGTAGAATAACTTAACTTCCAGGGCATGTCATATGCTTCAGCTGTAACCTGTATGAAGAAGTAAGTCTCTTCCAACAGCAGCTCTCTGGAACTACTTAATGATGAGCGCTGCATTCAGTCCGAGGTTGGGGTCGTCCTTTAATGTTTTCATTTATATCATTAGTCATTTTGACACTGAAAGGAAAATCTATGAATAGTGATTGTGGGCATCTGAGAGATAGCCTAGTCTGCATGAAATTAGTTTGGCTTATCAGTTATCGTAATTTCACATTTGTGAAATGGTCTCTGCTCAGTTCCCTTAAAAGTACAAACTTCAGACAAACATAAAGGAATGAAAGAAAAGCCAGGACTGATGCTGAGTGCTTGGATTATAGTTATGAAAACGAAGAGGGGCCCTGTCCTCAAAGAGCTTACAGTCTTAACAGGGAGAGACAACAGAGACAAGGGAGTGGTGGCAGGAGAGAGGGTCGCGTTTTTCTTTAATGTGGCTGCACTCTCTCTCTACAGTCTGTGGGATGTCTGTTCCCTTCAACATTAGTACCTGTTACACGCTCTCTTCCCTTCTCTAATATGTGCTTGTAACACTTGGTTAGGCACAGTGGCCCTAGAGGACTCTGGTTTATTTGTGTGTTGGGGGGGGTGACTGTGCACCTGGAATGCATGGACTTGAACCCGTTAAACTCCCCCCATATCACATCCTTCAGGGCAGAGGCCGTCTTCTTTGGCCCGTCTAGCCCTCCCACCTAGCAGGAGCCATCTCATGTACGTAGCACGATGGCTGCATTTCACGTGTGTGTGGCAGGTGCAGGGGTGTGGATCAGAGGGCCAGCACTGACCGGAGTACTCGCTGACGCTGCCCACACGCCACTTCGTGTCTGCGGAGTGAAACCCTTGCTATTTTTACTTAATTCTACATTTTAAACATCTCTCTTCTAGGGAGACCTTAAGAGCAAAGTGGTGATTGCTGAGAAAGAAGCTTCTGCAGATGAGCCGAACCCCAAAGGGATCCCGGAATTCTGGTTTACGATCTTTAGAAATGTGGATATGCTGAGCGAGTTAGTCCAGGTAATGAAATCCTTATGGCACGCCCAGCTTTGGGCTGAAAATAGAGAGAGCAAGGAGCACGTGGGCCCAGATCCCCCCTCGTATGGGAGTCGTGCCTCCCTTCTGTAACGGTGGTACTGCGGGAGAGGCTGTCTGGGTCTTTGTGCTCATGCCGTTTTCTGAATTCACCTTAGAAGCTGGATCGTGTTCAGCCCAGACACAGTATTAAGGCACTAGTAGAGGCCTTGAGTTCTAGAACTTACTGGTTTTCATGGTGAACCAGCCCCTCTATTGCTGTGTGATGGCTTAGTGGAATCGGGGCAACAGTACTGGCAAAGGGGCCTCAAGCTTTTGTCTAGTGTTTCTCCTCACCATTGGGCAGCAGGGTGGGATCCTTCTGGCTGAGCCCATTGCACCACTTGTGACCAGAGAGCTGTGGCAGTGCCAGCCACTTTTTAGAAGGCTTCCTCACAGTTATTCTCTGTCTGGAGAGGTTAGAGATTTAGCTGCAGGCTGACTTGGCTTTATGTTACCAAAATGGCTGCTGCCACCAGTGCTTCAGTAAGGAGAATCAAGTTTCACCTTTGACTTGCAGAATTATTTTTGAAGCTCTGTGCTTCAAATGCTGCAGAAAAAACTCTGACCCTGCCACCCAGAGCCAGGCGGGCTCCCTGGTAGGGGAGTGTCTGCCCTGACAGCTGTTGTCACACTGCATGAGCAGCTACACTCAGGCTGCTGGATGGAGGCTCACGCAGCTCCTGGGACTCCCCCAATGTAGGCCCGGAAGCCTTTGTCCTTGCTTTGGATCTCCTTAAACTCGGAGGTGTGGCCTCTGGGCCAGCTTCTGGAGAGCCATTTGTCTGTTGGCCAAGATGGCAGAATTCTACTTAGGCACAGACTTTCAGAATTAGAGGGGTCTCAAGGCCCACTCCCCAGAAGAGCCAAGCAGGGCTCATCTGGCCTTTGCCAGGAAATCTCCACAGTCTCAGCCCCTAGGGGACAGCTCTGACTGCCAGGAAGATTTTCCTGAGGTCAGGCCTCTTTTTGCCTCTGCAACTCCATCCGCTGCTCCCAATTTGTTCCTTCCTCTGGGGCCAGTATGTTCAAAGGATGGCCCAGCACGATCATCACGTACCCCAATCTTCAGATGAAGCATTCCTGTTTGGCAGTCATTCCTCGTATGGCCTTGCCCTTTGAAGCTCTCCAGTTCACCAGGGTCTTCCCCAACATGTGGCACCCACTGCCTTCACCTCAGCCATCTGAGCACCTGTGTCAGGCAGGAGCAAGAACTTCGAGGAGTTTGCAGTTGGTGGAGGGGAAGTGGAAGGGTCGTAGCATGCTAAACAGGCAGTAGAATGTCCCAGTGCCTGGGAAGGGCTGAGAGAGAAGAGGGAGCCCTCTTGGCAGAGGGATAGGGCAAGGGGCATTTCAGGCCTGCGGGCATAAGGGAGAAAGAAGCCTCAGAGCTGTGGAGAAGCCTGGGGCTGCAGCAGGCCCCGAGGGCCAGGCCAGGGGGTTAGCAGAATTCAAATGCTGCAGCATCCCAGATTCATTTCCTGTGTACGTTTCTCATAAAGACCGTGTAAGAGCTGTCTGCATTTGGAGAGAACAGAGGGGAATTGTGATTGTCTGAAAGACGTCATAGGACCAGATTTTCTTTTTACAACATATGTGCACTAATTTCTTCTTTCTTTTGTGACTAGGAATATGATGAACCGATTTTGAAACACTTGCAGGATATTAAAGTAAAGTTTTCAGATCCCGGACAGCCCATGGTAAGTGCTGGAAGCTTCAGTTGTTAGTGCTCTGATTGGCAGCAGGCCCTGGTCAGCTGCAGTGCCAGCGCGTGAGACCTAGGCAGGCACTGACCCCTAGTGGAGGCTGCTTTGTCTGCATGGGCAGGACTTGCAGTGTGACAGACAGGCTTGAGCTAAGGAACCTGGGTGTCGGGGCTGGGCCTTTGACCGTGCAGAAATCTGCAGAGGACGTTTGTCATGATGGTCTGAGGAATGTCTGCAGGAGCAGATTAAAAATGTGAAACTCATGCCTTCCACTCTGCCCGCCTTGGTCGTCGGCGTAACGATGGCTGACTGGCAGGCTGTGGTGTGTCATTCAGTTGTAGATTTGGGGGGCAGTTTGATTATTTCTGAAGACACGTGCAGTGCGGTCACCAGGGGAGCTAATCTTTGCTTGGCCTTGGGTGACCTTGGTAGGACCAAGGAAGCCGAGCAGAGAAGCAAAGGGGAGCCTTGGACGAGGCTGGAGCCGTGACAATCCCTGCTTCTCGTCACCACTAGGTGGCGCTGTGTCCTGGCTGTAGGGCACCATTCTTCTGAAGCTAAAGTCTTGCTGATTGTCAGCCTCATTATTTTGGTGTTTGAGAATGCATCTGAAGCTGGATTGACCCTCATAAAAGTAAGGCATTAGGAAACAAATTAAAATTCAGTTTGGGAAGGGAAGAGTCAGCTTCTCTAGGTCTGTAGGAGAAAGGGCTCCCCCTCCCCCCATTATGTTTTTGACCCTCTTCTTTGATTTTCCCCATACTTTATTTCCTGGGGTATCTCTCTTGTTGTTCACTTGTGGTCAGTCTTGTCCGACTCTTTAGGACCCCGTTTGAGGTTTTCTTGGCAGAAGTCTTGGAGGTTTGCCCTTTCTTTCTCATTTTACAGATGAGGAAACTGAGGCAAACAGGGTGAAGTGGCTTGCCCAGGGTCACACAGCTAATGAGTGTCTGAGGCCAGGTTTGATCAGGTCTTCCTCACTCCAGGCCTGATGCTCTGTGGTGCTCCTAGCTGTCTCTCCTTAACTGGCTCTGATCCAATTCTGGTAAAAATTTTTGTGTTTTTTGGTTATGAATCTAACAAATGTGAATTTGCCATATACAAAGAGAAGAAAGAATTGTGTATGAAATGCAGATCTATTAATACAGCTTTTTTTTTAAGTGTATAACAATGTTAACAGATGCCCTTCGTGTCTGTCTCCCTCTGAACATCTGTGCGTTTCTTTTTTTTGTTGTTTTTAGCTTTTCTTTCTTTTTTTGTGTGTTTCGTAAAGTATTTGCTTGATGTTTCTTCTGTTTTTGGGCCACATAAAGGCAGGGCAGTTGGCAGTGGCAGGGGCCATCAGGGCTCTCTTGTGTGCACCTCTTTTGTCTCCGACTCTCTCGGTCTCTGCTCTATCACTCAGCATAGGAAGAGTCTCCCCAACCCCCATCAGAGACCACTCGATTGGTCGTATGCAGACGGCTCTTCTAGGCAGTGCACTCATGGTACATGGGCATGCATTCGTGACAGCGGGCCCCATGGATCACCCTGCTCTCCAGCACTGGAGCATTGACGCATGTTTGAAAGACATTGTGGTTGGAATTGGTACCATATTTAATCAGTTCATGCTAGAAAGGATCTTAGAGATCTCGTCAAGCCCCTTCATTTGACAGATCAGGACCCAGGCCCCAAGCCCAAGGTCATGTAAGTAGTGACAGAGCCAGCATTTGAACTTGGATCCAGTACCTCCACGTCGGTTCTTTGCACTAGACCACACCGCTGTCCAGTCCCCTGGTCTTCACCTCCCCCATTCTAGGCAACAGAACAGCATTAGACATATTCCCTTCCTTTTAGAAGCTTAGTCCTTATGATTAGGGACCTAAATGCATGGATCTTGAGGCCAAGAGAACTCCACCGCCTCTGCTGACTAATGGTCTTGTTTCAAGCCCCCTCTGGTCACGTGCTATTTGTTGGTTTTTTTTTTTTTACCTCAGACAAATCCTTTAACTTCTTTCACCCTCAGTTCCCTGCTTGTAAAGTTATTACTCTGGCGGCTTTGGGGAAAATGAGATGAGATGAGAATTGTAAAGTTCTGTGCTCGTATGTGAATGGCAGGACAGGGAGGGAGGGCAGACTCCCTACCAGTGCTCGCCGTGGGGGAAGGGGGTACTGGCATTGCTCATCCCATTGTGGGATGAGGGGTCTTTCTAGCTCTGAGCTTGTCCCATGCTTTATAAACAAGGCTGCGATTCCCCGAGGAAGGAGGGGTAAGACAAGAGGCACTCACTGTCTAAGAAGGGGGAACAGTAGGAAGAAGAGCATGAATTGGGCAGGACTAGGAAGAGCCAGATGGGGGGCTCGCTGCGCCCCCTCTCCCCGCCAGTGTGCAGGCCAGGGAGGCGGTCTTGCCCGGACGCTCCCCAGGTCCCTCAGTTTGACCTGAGTGCAGCTAGGGAAGTTGAAGGTTGGCCTTTACGTCCCTGTACTGGGACCTAAGGTGGCCTGTGGCATTGACCTGGTCATGCTCTTTGTGCTGGACCTGCAGAAAACATGCCTTTTCCGCCTAAGCAAAGAAAAGATGGGTGAAATTGGGACAGTGAAAAGCAGGCTGTGGCCTAGTGCAGCCCTATGCAGCGAGGCACCAGGACGCTGTGACCAGCGGCAGTGCCCTCAGAAGTCCTCCCAGCCAGTGTCATGGGCTGGAAAGGTCCAGAGGCTTTCCCTTTCCAACAGACCTAAAAAATTGGAGGGACTGAGGGGGGCTTGAAAGATTGGTGACATCACTACCCCTTTCTTTGATTGTCTCTAAAACCCCAAACAGGAGAACATCGAAGCAGTTAATTGGCCTGGAGCCAACATAGCCCATTTCTTGGTTGGTGCCTCATGAGATAGGCTTTTGAGTCACTTAGCCAACAAGTGTGTGGTTTAAAATTAGGCTCGATCTGGCTGGTCTCCCCCCCTGGCCGCCCTCTGCTCAGCTGTCACCTTGATCTATCTTCCTGAGGTTCAGACGGTAGCAGCCCTCCCCCCTCCCCAGCACCCCCAGGACCTTCAGTCCCTGCTCCCAGGACCATCCCCTGGAGCCTCCGCTTTGCCTCCTGCCTTCCCCAGCTTCCATCATGTCTCCCAGAAATCTCACCTCCCAGAAGCCCTTGCTACCACCGCAGTCCTCAGGTGCCCCTGACCTGTTGCTTAGCTCCCGTTGATCCTGTTTCTGTCTTGTTCATCCAAAGCCATTTGTTTGGGGTCTTGCCCACGAGACTGTGAGCTCCTTGAGGGCAGGGCACTGTCTCTGGCCTTTCTTTGTGTCCCCGGTGCTTCAGCCACGTGTGTTCTTGACTGAGAGCATGGATTTTTCTATTTCTTTGGTTTCTCCCTGTGTTCCTCCCCTTCCCAGAGAGCCATCCCTTAGAAGAATTCCTTAAAAATAAGAAAAGATTCAGCCAAACTGATCGATATATTGAAAAAAATCTGATGTAATTGTTCAGTGTTCTGTACCTCCGGACCTTCCCTCTGCGAATGAGCAGGGGGAGGCATCTGGTCTTAGCACTTCTTTGAGGGCAAACTTGTTCTTGGTAAATACCAGGCATTGAGGACATTGATGCCGTGTGCCTGGCAGTGAACTAGAGATGGGCAAAGGAGCGCCTGTCTTCATGGAGCTTCATTCTGCCAAGGAGACGAATGTGTGTTTATATGAATAGTTACAACCTACATAGAGAGAAATGCAGGGTGGCCTTGGGAGGGAAGGGGGAGACCAGGAAGAGCCTTCTGCTGAATCTCCAAGGAGGCCAGGGATCCCGAAAGGTGGAGGAGGAAGAATACATTTTAGGGACCGGGGAGCAGCCAGCTCAGGGTCTGAGCTGGGAGGAACAAAAGCTGGGCCAGTTTGGCTGGACTTTAGTCGAGGGGAGCCCAGAGTGGTCATGGTCCTCGATGCCAAGCCAAGGAGTTTTGTAGCTTCTGGAGTGGGTGTGAATAGAGACCGTGACACAGACACAGAGACCTGTGCTCAGTGGAGAGGCTCTGAGGAGGCCCTTGTAGAGTCCAGGGGATGGTGAGGGAGGAGGAGGCTCAGGATGCTGCCCTGAAGTTACGGGGGCTGGGCTTTGGATGACTTCGGTCTCAGTCTTTGCTGGAGCTCTTTCCTGCCTGGTGCTGTGGGGGCAGGCTCCCCTCCGCCGACCTCCAACGGGAGCCAGATGTCTTGGGCAAGGCTTTGACTATGAATAGAGAAACCAGAATCCTTTCCACTGAGACCTCTGGGTGACCCCCATGTTCTTTTCTCCCCAGTCTTTCTCCTTAGAGTTCCACTTTGAGCCCAATGACTACTTTACCAACTCTGTCCTGACAAAGACTTATAAGATGAAATCAGAGCCAGATACGACAGACCCCTTTTCCTTTGAAGGTCCTGAAATAGTCGACTGTGAAGGGTAAGAAAAAGACTGTGCTCTTCTTCGGTGAGTTTTGTTCTTTCCCCAATTCAGCAAACATTTGTTAAGCCCTGACTGTGTGTCAGAATCTGCTAGCTACCCTCATGAAGCTTGCATTCCATGGGATGGGGCCCCCACATAGTCACAGAGAAGGGGAGAAAGAAAGAAGCAAGCATTTGTTAAAGTCCCTACTGTGTGCCTGGCACTGTGGTAAGCACTTTACAGATATCTCATTGGGTCCTCACGATGACCTTGGGGGGTCGGTCCTGTCATCCCCATGTTGCAGTTGAGGAAACTTAGATAGACACAGGTTAGATGATTCAGCTAGTCAGCATCTGAGGCCTGATTTGAACTCAGGTCATCCTGACTCCATGAGGGGATACCAGGAAAGACCTCCTGGAGAAGGGCCCAGTGGAAGGGAGCTGGGGATAGGACCAGGGGCAGGAGCCCACGTGCAGAATTAATGTTCATATGGTATCTGTGTTTGGAGGACTTTCTATTTTCACGATTGAGTTTTTCTCTTACTAGAAAGTAAGAGGAAACATTTGCTACAAGTGAACCCGCCTGCTTGTTTTATTTACATAGAATGTAGATGAGTGAAATGACAAAACGTGCTGCACGGGGGTGTCTTGTAGTGCTGATAAAACTCAAGTTTGCTGTCTGGCTGGGGCAGGTGCACTGGGTGACCTTGGGCCTCCTTCCTGCCCGGCTCCCAGGGCTTTTCTAGAAACGCTTGAGGTCCTCAGGGAGGTTGGGAAGCATCCGTCTGCTTAGTGAGACACACCGTGCATCCTTCTGTCAGGGCTTTTAGGGATGAGGTCAGCACTTACCTAGAGTTTGTCCGAGGCTCCTGCAGTTGGGTCACTTACCCTTGTGGACCCACATTGAGAGTTGTTGGGGCACAAGATTTGAGGGCCCCACGCACTTGGCCTCAGCAGAATACGAGCCTTCCCAGAGTAGTGTTGCTTTTGTTGAGAAGAACTCAAGGGGATGATCCTTTCCTGTCCTTGATAATGTCCCCTCAAGGACAGCTCCAGGCTGTCCTGGGCGGAGGGGCGAGGTCTCCCTTGGGCAGCTCTGGGCTTTCTGTCTAACGTTCTCCAGCTTGTTCTGTGATGCCCGCTCCCAGACACTTTAGGAAGTAGCCTTTCCTCTTGGCGACCTGGCCTCGGTCGGAATTCTGCCTCTGGGCTGGCGTCGGGCTTGGAGGGAGCCGGGGAGGGCTCGGAATGCAGCTTGGTGACCCGGCTCTGCTCTCCAGGTGCACTATCGAGTGGAAGAAGGGCAAGAACGTGACGGTGAAGACGATCAAGAAGAAGCAGAAGCACAAGGGCAGAGGCACCGTGAGGACGGTCACGAAGCAAGTCCCCAATGACTCCTTCTTTAACTTCTTCAGCCCCATCAAAGGTAAGCCTGGGCCTGCAGAGCCAGGTGCAGATGAGGCGCTTTTGTGAAATGGTGGCTTTAAATTCCAGTCTGTGTCCTAGCTAGGGAGTCACTTAAGTGGGGAGACGCAGGAAACATGCTTGTGGCGTTGCGACTTGAGGTCCTTGCCATCCTCTCATTCCCTTCCCAAGGTCACCCAGAGAGGTTTTAGAGCCAAGACTGGGTCCGAGATGTGCTCTTGCCCCCTTCACAACCTTGTTCTGAAGCTGCCCCCAGGCCTCCCGGAGTTGGGGTCTGATCACAGCGGCAGGGGTGGAGTGCTCCGCTTTCCTCCAGGACGTGAGATATTCTCGGGAAGAGGTCAGCCTTTCCACCGTAGGCACCAGCCAGCTCGCTCACCCACGTTGTAGATTTGTGTACCGTGTCCTGTGTCCCTTATGTGGCCTGTTTCCCACAGTTAGACTAACTCATCTTTAAAACAGTTAAACTTGCTTTCAGCCTCATTCCAGACTGAGGAGGCAGACATCTGGTGGTCTTTGGCTAGCCACTAAATCTTCCAGAGGAGTTTTTTTAGTTTAACATTGACATGGGTGGTCTTGTATTGTTCATAGAAAAGGTGCTCTTTGATTGCCTTTGAATATGCCAACATAAAGTAGATTGGCAAACTCCTCCTGTTTTCATTTCGGCTGATTTTTTTGTGGCTCTCCAGCCAGCGTGGCTGCCCCTTGTGGGCCCAGCTGGGCCCTGCTCTGCTGACCAAGCTCCTTCTTTGCCAGCTTCCTCTTTAAAGTGTGCCACTCGGTCCTGCTTTGTCCAGACCTCAGGTGGCTGCTTTTGGGGTGCCAGTCGCCAGCTCTGAAGGACTAACGTCCCCAAGGAGAGAATTTGAATGAATGACTAAAGCATATGCCAACCTCTTAGACCGGAGCCGAGCCGAGGGCCGGCTCCAGCCAGTGGAGAAGCAGGGCGTCTTATTTGTGTGGTCTGTCGTAGTCAGGCTGGTCTGCCAGCTGCTCCTCCATGATTTTGTATGCACAGTGCCCCTGCCTGGGACACCTTCCCTCTTCAGAGCCTGGCTTCGGTGCCCCCTCCTACAGGAGGTCTTTCTGATTCCCTCCCATCTTGAAGTTGCTTTGTATGCCCTTGTTTTTGTGCGCTGTGAGCCCCTCCCAAGGGAAGAGAAGTGCTTTAAAAGCAGAGGTGGTTCTGGTCTTGGGCCTTGCACATAGTAGGTGCTTAATCCAAGTCTAGGCCAGGGAATGCCCACCTCTTAAGTGCTTCTTCCATGCACGGCGCTTGTTCCCGGGGATGGTAGCAGTCATACAACGAGGGCACAGACGACGCCTTCTCCTCCTGCTGCCCACCTGCCCTCCCCCAAATAGCCTTTGTCTCGTCTCAGACCCTGAGATTTGGCACAGGGAGGAGCGGCAGGGGCTGACCCCTGGTTAGACCCTCCTCTCATTGAAGGGAGTGCAACAGTGTGCCTGCGACCTAATCGTAGGGTTGTTATCCAGAGTCGTATGGGATCTCTTACTGAGGTCTTGTTTCCACCTTCAAGATGAGTAAGGGGCTCTCAGGTCCCAGAGAGGTTTGCTCCATTTCTTTTTTTTTTTTTCTCCTGGAATTTCTTTTTTTTTTTTTTAATTTTTTTTTCCATATGCTTTTCAGTTGAAAATTTTTCTCCCTTTTTCTCCCCCCCACCCTCCCCAGACGGCGCACAATCTGACATAGGCTTTACATTTACATTCCCATTAAATATATTTTCACATTAGTGAAGTTGTAAGTAAAAATTAAAACCAATAGGAGGAACCATCAGAAAGATGAAACAAAACTCAATAGAAGGTAAAAGTAAGTGATAGCGATTCGACTTCCATAGTTCTTTCTTTGGATGTGGACAGCATTTTCCATCCCGAGGCCTCTAGAGAGGTCTTAGATCCTCGTAATGCTGAGAAGGGTTCAATTTAACATTCTTAGTCATCGCACAACGTGGCTGTTATTGTATACAAAGTCCTCTTGGTTCTGCTCACTTCACTCAGCGTCAGACCATACAAGTCTTCCCAGGTTTTTCTGAAGTCCGCCTGTTCATCATTTCTTATAGCACAATAGTATTCCATTACATTCATATACCACAACTTGCTCAGCCATTCCCCAGTTGATGGGCATTGTCTCAATTTCCAATTCTTGGCCACCCCAAAAAGAGCTGCTATGAATATTTTTGTACATGTGGGTCCTTTTCCCATTTGTTTGATCTCTTCGGGATATAGCCCTAGAAGTGCTATTGCTGGCTCAAAGGGTACGCACATTTTTGTAGCCCTTTGGGCGTGGTTCCAAATTGTTCTCCAAAATGGTTGGATCATTTCACAACTCCACCAACAATGCATTAGTGCTCCAATTTTCCTACATCCTCTCCAACATTCATCATTTTCCTGTTTTGTCATGTTGGCCAATGTGATAGGTGTGATGTGGTACCTCAGAGTTGCCTTTGATTTGCATTTCTCTAATCAATAACGATTTAGAGCATTTTTTCATATGACTGTAGATGGCTTTAATTTCTTCATCTGAGAACTGTCTGTTCATATCCTTTGACCATTTATCAATTGGGGAAAGGTTTGCTCCATTTCTGTTGTCACTGTAGGGCTTGGGTGGGAATGCTTCCCGCTCGCTTGTTATTCAGGTGAGCCCAGAGTGAGTTTGTCAGCCAGTATGGCCCTGCTGCTCCCTTGTGAGCCTTGGGAATGATTTTCTGGCCAAATCAAGTCCAGACCCATTCCTTCAGGTTAAGGTAGGAGAGGGCTAGGTGGGTGGGAAAAAGAGACTAGCTTTGATGTAGCGGGGATTGTTCTGACATGTCTCAAATCATTGGGAAGCCCTCTTTCATGAAGGAATGTTAAAACTTAGTAATTTCTAGTGTGTGTGTTAGGGGGGGTCATGAAATGGATTGGAGTTGTGGAATGTTCTTTTTCCTCATTAAGTCAAGTGGGCTGGGGGCAGGACAGGGCAGAAATGCTGTATTTATTTCAATATTAATTGAATTTTTTCATTATTTTTATAGTGTCTGGGGATGGAGAGTCACTGGTAAGATTCCTATTTTAAAGCTTCATTTATTCTCAGATTGCTCTATTTTATTTTCTTCGACTTTTCCATGCTCTTAAGCGCTGGTGCTGAGTTATAATGGATCCCTAATGAAGAGGATGTGTCTCACACCAACCCCAAATTCCGTGCTGAATTTGTGTGTCTGTGCTTTTCCCCCCACGGTAGTAACAGTGACCATCCTTACCCCAGAGGCCCAGGACCAAGAGCCTGGCGCGCTCTCTCGGGCTGCTCGTTTAATGGTGGCGCTGACTGACATTTTAAATAGCGTGGGAGGAGCTTGATAAATGTTTCGTAACATAAGAGCTAAAGACTTTAAGATGAAAATGGCCCGAATGCCCTGGATAGTGTTGGAGGCCAAGATGTATGTGCCCGGTGTTGGTCCGGTTACCGGAGCTGGTCCTCTATGGAACCTTGTGGCCCAGCCCAGTTTGCCTCTGTTCTTAAGAAGCTGGTGGTTGGAGTTAATGCTTCAAACAGGAGATTATGCATAATTACTACTGAAGTTTTGTCCCACAGGATGAAGATTCAGAATTTACATTAGCCTCAGATTTTGAAATTGGGCACTTCTTCCGCGAAAGGATCGTTCCACGTGCAGTCCTTTATTTTACTGGGGAAGCCATAGAGGATGATGACAATGTATGTATATGAATCTCAGTAGTGACTGCTACCGTGTCTGTGTGAGCGTGGGGCCGGCAAGGCCTGGAGTCAGGTGTTTAAGGCCGGGAAGGGCCTGCCTGTGTGAGATCTGTCCAGGTCAGAGCTTTGGAGTTCCCTCACGTTGTAGAGGAGTAAACCGAGGCCCAGAGAGGGTGTCTGAGTGGCTAAACTCTCTTTGTGACCTTGGACCGTGGGAGGACTGACGCCCGGTCAGGTGTCCTCTCTCACACAGAGCGTTTTAGCGGTGGATGGAGTGAAGAGAGTGCTCCTGGTTTGCTTTCCTTTGGGCAGACGTCTGGCGTAGCTCTCTACTTCCTGGTGTCCCGGTGAGACGCAGACAGGGCGGGTGAAAGCCGCCTCTTTCACTAGCGGGTGTGTCCCGTCTGACTCCCCCAGACCCCGAGAGCTTGAGGACGCTTTTTCCAGAGAGCACACGTTCCTAGGGTTGTCGATATATGTAGCCTTTGGGATCCTCTAGGGACGAATTGCTGATAACACAGAGAGATTGCCGGCCGGTTTGGCTGGGTCCGAGACCTGCAGGAGACTGGCGCTTCCCGATTCAGGGTTGGGGGATCAGGCTCGTGTGTTCTAAAGTGAGACCGGCCAGAGTCGGCATCTCCCCTTCCCGCTCTGCAGAGGAGCCGTCCGGGCAGCTCACAGCCGTCAGTTGTGAAGCCCCGGCTTTTTTGCTCCTGCTGCCCTTCCAGCGTGTGATTCCCCCTCCCGCTGTCCTGGAAGCGCCTTCTTACAGACCGCAGGGGAAGTGGCCAGCCCCGGGTCAGCTAGGTAGAAGGACTGAGGCTGCAGCCCAGCCTCCTGCTGCCATGCTGGTTTTGTCAGCGCCCACCTGTTGTTAAAAGGCCTGTGGGAGCCAGGTCTTCTCGTGGTGGTTGTCCTTCCAGCAGGGGGGGCCCATCTTCTCTTTCACATCTCTTGGGTTGGGCACCTAAGACTGGTGCCTGCCCTCATGGAGCTTCTGGTCCTTGCTGGGGGAAGGGGGGAGTATGGGACGGGATACCCGTGTAGAGAGCTGACGTAAAAGGAGGTGGCCTTCAGAAGTCATCAGTTCTGTGGCATGTCGATTTGGCAGGCATCAGAGAAGGTTTCCTGGAGGAGGTGACATTTGGGTTAGTCTTTAAAGAAAGGGCTAGAATTCAGCGGGTTCCCTGCCCATCCCTGCTGGGTGGGGGGTGGCCTAGCTTTCCTTAAAACGTTAGCACATTAAAGGCACCAAAAAGTTGACCTCACAGGGACCTGGTGCTTTAGTTCTTTTATTATTTGAGGACGGGTTACTTGATTTCAGATTCCGTTTAGTTTGTTTAAGACTGCATGATGGGGGCGTGGGGGGAGTTGGTGGTGCATACACACGCGCGCGCGCGCGCACACACACACACACACACACACACACACACACACACACACACGTACACACGTGTCCACACCAGTGCATATTAGAAAAGGAATGTCCTCAGAGATAAGGGGTTTGTCGCTTACATGTTCCCAGCAAGGCAGCCTCCGAGTGTGGAAGGCCTGAATTTGAGTCCTGCTTGTGACCCTGGGCACATCTTAACCTCTCAGTGTTCTACCTTGCATTGGGAGAAGAGGCTTCCTTCCCTGGGGGTTCCTAAGACGACTGAAATCACCCTCTGCCCCCATCTTTCCTGTTGGTCTGCTGAGTGTGGCCTTCTGAGGGCCCTTGTCTCTGCAGTGAAGTGACTTAGTGGGAAATCGATTTGAGATAAACTGGTGTTTAAATCTGTTGGCTGCTGAAGGCTTGACTCATTCGTGTAAAGCTTTCTACTTGATGGCAGCAAAACCAGTGTTTTCCTCTTCTTTGTCAAGGATGTTGTCACATGAAACATTGTAGGTTTGCAGAGAGATCTTTTCCAGCATCCCCAGCCCGTGGCCCCCGGGGGCAGGCAGAGCTATAGTGCCCCTTTCCCAGCCAGAGGTGACCAGCAGGTGCCTGTGGCTCGTCTGTCCCGGGCAGCCGGCTTCCTGTCCGTAGCCAGAAGGGCCCTTCGAGCTGGGAGAGGCCGGGCTCCTCTGTGGCTGTGGGTCAGCAGCCCAGGGGGCGGCCCTGTCGCCTGCTGCCACCGGGAGGACTTGGGGGCCTGGGGACAACTGACCAGAGCTGGCTTGGAGGCCAGGCTGCTGTTGGTTCTAGAAATCTAAAGATGTTTTTCCATTTTTCAGTTTGAAGAAGGCGAGGAAGGGGAAGAAGAGGTGAGATGTGTTCAGTGACAGCATGGGGGGTGGGCTGGAGGTTTTCTTGGGGTGAGGGACGCAAATACTTTGGGCTGGATTCGGGGCCATGATTTTATCTGGAGCAGCAACTGACGTGTCCCACTTCACCGTGAACACGTTTGTTCTGTCCCCGGCTCCTTGAGATGTGATCCTCGGGTCGGTCATGGCGCTGGATGAAACGTTGGCCACCGTGCACTCGGCGCTCTTTTTAAATCAAGTGATGGGTTCTCCTTGTGGCTTTCCTGGGCGCGGGTGACAGTGCTGCTGCAGCTGGGAAGTCCTCTTGTTGACTGGTTGTCTTTCTTGTTCACCAGGAATTGGAGGGTGAAGAGGAGGGAGAGGAAGATGATGATGCAGAGAATGATCCCAAGGTTAGTGGTCTTAATGAATAAAACCAAACGCTGTGGCTAACACCGTGCTGGGTGTTTTCCCCAGGAGAATTCTAGAGCTCAGCCTTTGGGTTGGTGTTTGGGGCTTCCTCGGCCTGGTGGCCTCGTGGTGCTCAGGCCTCGGCACCTCTAAAGGAGCGCGGGCCGGTGAGGAGGGGCCGCCTTTAAGAGGCAAGTGCCTGCGTGATCTTCTCCCTTTTTGACTCTCCCAGCCAGGCCCCATTTTTAAATGATCCAGACGCTCATGTCTGTTTGGGAAAGGGAGTTATAAAGCCAGGGTACTTGGAGGGAGTGTGTACAGACTTGGGACTTTATTCCTCTCTTTAGTCAGATATTTGGTGAAAATTTAATGCAAATAACATGTTTAGAAATTACATAATTTTTAAATTGCAGGGCTCAGTGTTTAATGAAAGCCAGTGAACCCTTAATACCAGAAATTTCAAAATGATTAATTATTCATCTTGGCAAAACTTGGATTTTCCTTTATCTGACTGAATTCCTAGTAGTAGAATTCATAAAGCTACCATGGATATTTTCAAACGAGGCCCATCCTCCTCCACCCCACTTTCAAAAGAACAAACCAGTCGCAGCTCTTTGGCTGAATTGTAAATCAATAATATTTGTTATTCTCTGGCATGAAGTTAACTAACTTGCTGCCTGCATGGCAAAAATCTGATATGGGAAGTCAAATGGAGCATTTCCTGGCTTTTGGGGTGGGGGAGGGGCTGTGTCTGTTCGATGTGTCATCATTTCTTCCACCTCCCCTCTCCCACCCCAGGTGACAAAAACCACCAAGGGGGATTATTAATGCTACATAATGCGTACAACACGCTTGTGAAGGAAGGGCTTACGTTGGAAATCGAGGGATTTTTTTTTAATTTGCCACATAAATAGCTCTCCAGGAGCAGGCATCTTTAAAAACAGGCCGCCAGGCAGTCGGTGGAGCCGTATTTGTGGAGTGCCTGTCATGTGCTAAATGCTCACCTCCAGGGAGGATTTCAGGGATGTTCCTTCCCCTCAAAGGGAAGACGAGTCCAGGGCAATTGAAGCAGTTAGCCAGGCAGTGCAGAACAGCAGACGAGTGTCCATTATCCAGAGTAATCTGAGGTTGCTTTGAGGTTGGTGGCACTGCACGTTAGCTTCCTCCGCCCTAGTGGCATTTGGGCTTTGGGGCATATTTTTACAGAATGGAGCCAAAACAGTGATTTTTAGTTCACCCGCTCCCACTCTTTGGTTGGTTTCTAGAGCCCCTCGATTCCTGCTTGTAAAGGCGCCGGAGTTGTGGCTGCCATTTGAAGCTCCTTGCTCCCTCTTTATCTCGTGCTGCCCTGCTGTAGTTACTCTGCCCCTGCTCCTGAGCTGGTCATCCTCTGCCCACCTAGTACCAGGTTTTCAAATGCTACCCTCCTCCCGAAGTCTGGGCAGAGAAGTCAGCCTTGGGCAGTGCCAGGAAGGAAAGGGGCTGTTAGTTCTTTGGACCTCAGCAGGCACCTTCTCTGTCCTGACAGCAGTGTGTGGCCTCAGCAAAGCTCTGGGTGACAGGACAGCGCAGTTCAGCAATAGGGGATGTTCTCTGCCTGGTGAGAATGTGGGGGCAGAAGGGTGCAGGTCTGGCGTGTTGGAGTGGCCCTGCTGAGGCACAGTGTTTGCAGAGCTCAGGATCTCCAGGAATTGGGGTTGTTTTCCTCCTGTATGATTTTGCACATTTCATTGTCTTTCATGCTGACAGTTCCTTTCCATTTTTTTTCCCCATTTAGGTGTAATTTTTGTCTGTTTATCATTCATATCATAGGTAAGGTGGAACTCCATTCATACCTAACTTGAAAGTTGGTGATCTGTAGTCAATAAAATGTGGGGTTGTTGCGGATAATAGAATACAGTCGATGTAGAGCTTGGGGCTAAGGAATCTAGATGAGGCATGGGCTCCTTCCTCCTCGAGCCCAGCCAGCCTTCCTTCTCATCGAGGCAGTCAGGCTAGAAAGGTGCCATCTGCGAGTTTCGTGGTGCTCCCTCAAGAGTCAGGGCATCGAAGGCCCCTGACGCCTGGAGGCGGGGCTTGCCTGGTGCCCTTCAGAGAGCAGAAAAATGGTGTGAGAGAGGCGAGGAGACGAGACTGTGGCAAGGACATCTAGAAAGTACATCTGGAGCAGTCAGTCCAGAAAAATGCAAAGCAAGGGAGGCAGACACTCTTTGTATTGATACAATGATATCTTTCATTTGATGTCACAGTCTGTCCAAGAAGGGGACTGGTGTATGTAGGACTTCCAAGTACCTGTCTGGTGTTCTAGTGTGAAGTTGATGGGGAATTTTGTGATTATGAAAGGTACTTGAATGAGCAATAGAACCATTTGCTGAGTTAGACAAACCCCCCACCCTGGGCTGTCCCATCAGTGACCCTCTCCTGCCCAGGGGACTATTTTAAGGGGCTTTTTCTGAGGGCATTGAACCCTCAGGGTACAGCCAGCCAGCTGTGCTCAGGATCCTCCACACTGGTTGTAGCTTACTGAGGTTGGAGTAAGTTACTATAGGGATGGAAATTAGAGAGGAAAGCCTTACCTGTGTCCCCAGCATGAAACGGCTCCGGTCCATGAGAACCTGAGACCCGGATGATGTGGAGGCACAGGGAAGGTGTCATCACAGAAGAACCGTGGTGGTAGAGATTCTGGGGACAGCTTAGAAAACGACCACCCTTGTTCTGGATTCTTTTTTTTGGGGGGGGGGGATGAGGCAGTCGGGATTAAGTGACTTGCCCAAGGTCACACAGCTAGTAAGTGTTAAGTGTCAGGCTGGATTTGAACTCAGGTCCTCCTGACTCCAAGGCCAGAGCTCTATTCACTGCGCCACCTAGCTGCCCCTCTTGTTCTGGATTCTTGAGCAACCTTCTCTAGAAGTCAGGGCTACATGTAGAGAGAAAAATCCACCTGCTTGAATAGTGCTTGCCAACTTGATCTTACATGGAGTCCATGTTTTTATTTCATAAAATCCAGGTTTTATTTGTTTTTTTAGGCAGTTGGGGTTAAGTGACTTGCCCATTGTCACACAGCTAGTAAGTGTCCAGTGTTTGGTCTGAGATTGGATTTGAACTCGGGTCCTCCTGACTTCAGGGCCGGTGCTCTATCCACTGCGCTGTCCCTGAAATCCAGTTTTTATAAACAGTAGCTCCAGAATTAAGTCAGATTTTACCATTTTTGAAGAGCAGATAATAAATGGGACTTCTTTAGGACTTTGGACTGTTAAACCCTTGTCTTTTACAACAGAAAAATGATTGGTGTAACATGAAGACATCATGGTTCTTGTTTTGGATTTTTCATAAACTTCCATAGAAAACCGGAAAACTCTTGAAAGCAAATCCTTCTTATGCAGCAAATTAATTTATTTTAGACTCCATGAAACTCATTTTGTTGATCACAAATAGGGCCACAGGTGAAAAGGTTGCCTTTGCCATTGCTTCATGGCGACGTTGATCAGATTCCCTTCGTGGGATTCCTTCGCAATTCCCTCTTCACTTCTGAGATTAACTCGGCTTTGTTGCAAAGACTGGTGCACGCTGTGTTTGCTTGCATTGGGACGGCTTCACGCAGATCATCTGGGAATTGGCCATAAGTGACCCCCGTTTTCTGACCTAGGCTTGCTTTGCAAACCCTCCTCGTTGAGACCAGAAGTGGGATGATGGTTACGTTGTGGGGCTGGGGCTTTTTCTTCCTGGTTCTGCAGTAGTTTCTTACCTCTTAGCCTTAGAGATGAGAGAACCAGTCGGTTTTTCATTCAAGCTGTAAATATTATGGCAGCCCTGCAATTGAAGATACGTAGTGACAGGTTCTCATGCCCTTCTCAGGTGGGTCCATGTCACTGTTACCACCCATTCTTTTAACTAGTGCCATGACATGCCAGTCTTTGCACCTGCTCGTAATCACTGGCTTTTAAAAACACCCACCTCCCTCCCTTGGTGATTGAGCTGGGGCTGTGTGACTGAGCTAGAGGGTAGAGGCTTTACACAGCCACCCATCGGAGGAGCAGGTGGTCCGTTTTTTCTGCCCCAGAAAACTGGTAGAGCCTTATTTATAGTCAGTGACGTGGAGGTTCAGCAGGGCGGCACCGGCCTTCAACAGGGCCCTTGACCAAACTGGGCCTTGCCGTGTCCTGAGCCTGGCACATCATGCCGAAGGCAGAAGTGTCTAGTTGTTTTAAGTCAGGATGTGAGAGTGCTTAAGATCATTATGTCAGACTCCCTGGATCCTGGCAGTAGCCTGTCCCATCAGGAAGGATCCAGTAGTGTTGCCCAACCTGCCGGCTGTTGGCCATTCTCCCTGACAGGTTGACATAGGTGGCCCTCAGGTGAACAGGACCTTTCCTTCTAATGGCCCAGCTGCATAGTGATCGTATCAAGTCAAACTTAGAAGAGACTTCGTTTCTTCCCTCGAGTAACTGAAAAGTAGGTTTGCAGTATCAGGTTGACCGGAGAAGCAGTGATCATCACTTTGGGCAGAATTAAGTATTTGGGTGAGGTCCTCCTTCATCCCAGAGACAGCCAGCACCTAGAGGCAAGCAACCCTATTCCCTTGTGGGCCGAGGCATTTACTAGTGCTGGACTTGTCTCTGGCCATGCCTCGTAATTCTCTCCCTGACCACTGGGCTTACCTTGGGTTGCCTTGCCCCGCAGCCACCTCAGTATCTCCCTTATCCGAGAATTCTGGGAAAGGTGGAGTCCATTACCTTGCAAGGTGTCCCCAGAGTTAGCACAGACCCAGAATGTATGTACAGAGGAAAAGCTTTGATGCTATACCCAAAGTCGTAGAACATAAGCCTCATTCATCACTCATGTTTGGGAGCGCTTGAGTGTTAAAAAAAAAATGCTTAGAATGGTGACTGGCCGGCACCCCCGCCCCCCATCCCCACCATCACTCCACGTGTGATGACAGTCCGAGTTTGCTCCCTGCTCTTCAGGCCCCACTATGGCCCAGGTTCTCAGACCAGCTCCTGGTCATGCTGCCGAAGGTTCTGATTAGCACCATGCCCCTTTGAGAGAGAAGTCATTGAAATGAAACAATAGGTTTGACACCCAGTGTTGGACTAAAAACACGGCACACAGCTCTGCGAGCTGCCCCAGGTAGAAAGGGCCACTGGGGTGAAATGGGGGCTTCGGCCCCTCTTCCTGGGAAGGCTCAGATGAGTCAGGAGTCTCGCTGCCCAGTTGTGGCCCCAAGCCTTGGGCTCAGGTGCCAGGGCGAAAGCTCTGGACTGGACTTCTGTGAAAATGAAGTTGGGTCCTGTAGCAGCCTGGGCTTGTCTCATAAGCTCTAGTTTGGCTCCCGGGAAGGGGACCCAGCCTGTGGCCTGTCCTGGGGGAGTGCCTTTTTTTCCCCTTCTAAAGCACCAATTCGCAGCTCAGCTTTCTAACTCCTTATCAGTGTGTAACAGCACATTTTAAATCTCGAATCAGCCCCTGGGCTTTTTTGCTGGCCTAATTTCTCCATGAAAATGAGAAAGAGCTCCAGACACTGTGAATTGTTGGCATCCGGCCCCAGGAAGCGTGGACTCACTTTTACTAAAGCACGTCTTTCAAAGCGCACCCTGCACGCACGCTGCTGGTGCTCCTCTCGGATCACTCTGGAGGGTTGATGCTCACGGGGCAGCGTGGCTTGCTGGGTGCTGGTGGGTCAACTGCGAGGCTGCAGGCTCAGGGTCTCTCTTTCTCTTGACAGAGAGAAAGCGGCCAGCCGGCGGAGTGCAAGCAGCAGTGATGCCTGCGGATGCACGCCCCCTTGGGAGAGGCTGAGCCACCTTGGACGACCGGACACCTTGGGATTCCTGGCCTGTGGCCTGGGGTGTTCACTCGCTGCAGCGCCGTCTCACTAACAACGCTTACAGTTAACTTGTTTTCAAGTGCGTGGTTTTCACTTACACTTTTTTTCTTTTTGCCTAATTTGTACAGTGGTAACTTTGATGCATTTCGCAAATAGGTTTCAGTAAAGCACCCTCTCTACCTGCCATTGCCTGCCTGTGAGCTGGGCAGGTGCACACACGGGTGCCAGAGTGCATTTGTAACTTGGTTAAGACAAAGAGGAGGTAGGACACATGTGCACGCACACACGCACACACATGCACTCCTTCACACACACACACACACACACACACACACACACACACACACACACACACACACACACACACACACACACACACACACACATACATCCTGCACCCTGCCCTCGCCTGCTTTAATGGCCTCTTTATCCCAGTCATCTCAGAGCTGTCGAGTAGAGTAAAGCCATGTTTGCTGGGGGGAGGGGGGAGGGCAGGGGGCTTGGGCAGGTCATCTTCCTATTTATTTCCTTGTGTTTGTATGTACTTTGAACTTGGGCTCACACTCATTTCTGAAACCATGTTTGTGTGACGAAAGATCTGGTGCCTCTGTCCAGGGAAGAGGGGCTCGTGTGTTCTTCCCAGAGCAGAGACCCAGGCCCCTGTGCTGCAGAGGACGGGGGCGGGCTCGCTGGACTTGGACGTACACGGTGGCCGTTGGGGCCCTGGGTTCTCGGCCTTCTCTCAGTGCTCCGGGGTGGGCGGCTCCATTCTGTCCCTCTGTTGGTGTGGAGGACTCCGGGTGCACCTTTCTAGTTTTTCAGCCCCTGATACCAGTCTCCAGCCTCCATTGATTAGCAGCTTTATCAACACTGTGACCAGGCGTGTAGAATGCTCCAGCCTTACCTTAAACAGTACACATTTGTAACTTAATAATAGACAGCGTTTTCAATTTGTACAGAATAGTTAGGATATTCTATTAAAGTTGTGAAACATGAGCATGGCTGTCCACTGTGGTTCTTGGGGCCTGCGCTTCTGCATTTCCAGCCTCTTCCGGAGGGTCGCTATGTTGGAGGATCCAGAGAGCTGCTGTCCCGCCCTGCCATGCCCTTCATTCTGCACAGGGGGACTCTCAAGTGAACAGCAGGGGATGCCACCATCCCCCCTCGTGGCTTGGGAGGCCTTCCCCGGTCCTGATCAGTGATGGTCTGTGTGCTTCTGCCTGGGGGGGACCCCAGGGATGAGGGCCGAGAACTGCGCTCTGTTCCGCCCAGAGACACTCACCTGTTGTGCACTCTCTTGCTCAGTGGCTTCCCTGTGGGAATCTGCCCTCTGTGGTGATGCCCAGCCCAGATTAATGAAACCTCTGGTGGGAGCTGTCAGTTTAATTGGCAGGTGATTCAGATTACTTGGAAGCTGTGAGCCAGGATGAGTTCTCCTCTCAGTCTACCACGACCATGTGGCAGTGGGCCGTTTGACCTGTTTTCAAGACTTGCAGAAAATGGAAAAATACCAAGGGCCAGAGGAAGGTGATAGTGGGTGTGGGAGAAAGACTTGGTTTGGAGTCAGGCAGTGTTCTGGATCCTGGGGTGTCCCACTCCCTGGCCAGGCTGCCCTTTGTCTGTAAAATGGGGGCTTTGAGTCACCAGATAGAAGCGCGGCTTGTACGCTTACGATGGCGTGGCCCCTGTGACCAGCACTGAGAGGTCTCTAGAGCAGGCTTGCTCCTTACCCCTAAAGCTTCCTTGTTCTAATGATGTCTGCCTGGATGTCAAACCCGAGCTGTGGAGCATCTCTGGAGAGCTGGTAGTCCTGGGTTTGAATCCCAGCCCTGCCGCACAGCACCGATGTGAGAACAGGGGCTGTCGAGGTCCCTCCCACCCCTGAGGCTTCTCTCCCCAAGCCCGTGCCTCTTTCTGCCCGCCTCCTGGCGGGTGTTGATACCCCCTTGTTCTCCCACATTCCCATCACTGGTGTTTACCATCTGGGCCCATCCAGGCCCATGCAGTCCATCCCCTCTTCCATTCGATCTGCCGTCTTACTCCTTAGTACAGACTTGTCACCTGGCTCTACATCAGACTGCATCAGTCTGAGGGAGGGGAAGGAATGAGCGTTTATGTGGTGCCTGTGGTGTGCTGGGTACTCTGCTATTTGCTCCCCAGAGCCTCCCCACAACTCTTTTCCCCATTTTACAGTTAAGGAAACTGAGGCAAGCAGGTTCAGTGACTCAGTCACATAGTTAGTAAATGTCTCAGGCTGGATTTGAACTCCAAGTCTGCCTGACTCCCATGTGTCCCCCAGGGAGTGCTGACCCTGATGACAGGACAACAGCATCTGGCACGTGGTAGCTGAGGGACAGGAGGCAAGGTGTGTCTGTGCCCTCATCTTTAAGATGGGGTGATGACCCCCCCCCGCCCCAGGCTTGTTGGGAGGATTGAATGAGAGGGACGAGTTCATTACAAATCCTAACATACACCGAGCATCCTTCCTGCTCAGGTCGCATCTGCACTGGACCGTGATCTGTTTCATGCCCAGGCTTTCCCAGCATTTCCTCTTGGCCCCACCAAAATGGTGCTTCACACTTTGAGAACAGAGGATCATGTGGAGGCAGAGTAAGGGTCCAGCCGCACCTGAGAAAACCGGCTCCATGTGTGCTCATGCCTTTGGCCTCTGCTGGGAGAGCCCCTAGAGGCAGCGCTCAGGGCCAGCTTCTCGTGCCCCTGGGGGAAGGGACATGCCCGTACCCATCCACGTCGGGCCCCACGGACGGGCCAGGTAGAAGTGCTCCCTTTCACCGCTTGCTGAGAGCTGACGCGTATCAAGTGTGTAATGCCAGTTGCTGTACCGCTTTGGAGTCAAAGAGACCCCTGTTCTTATTCTCCGTGGCGGGAGCCAAGGTCCTGCCCTCCCTGGGAAGGGCCACTAGTTAGTGAAGACATCTGAGCACCTGTTGTGGGGGCCGGGGAGGGGGGAGGGTGAGCTCCCGGCAAGGGATAGGGTGTCCAGGAGCAGTGACGAGCTCTTCCTGGGGACAGAGTCTTGTGGGAGTGCCACAGTCAGGGCTTTGGGGGAGGGGGGGAGGCTGGACTGCTGAACCGTAACGAGGAATCGTTATGTAGCAGGGACGAGTGGCTTGCTGCCGGCAGTGGAGGGAGGGCTGCCTGTCACTGGCGGGACTGCCTGCCCCACAGGGGACAGGAAGAGCAGACCAGGCGGGGAGGGAGCCTCACGCCAGCCCAACCCAGGCGCTTTTCCAAGGTACTCAGTGATTCTCGCCTGGTGAGTGTACTGGCATCCTCTAAATCCCCGGCGCTAGGGGTGCCCCGTCTCCCCCAGCTCTTGAACTCAGCTGCCTCTGCTCTACACCCACGAGCATCTCCACGATGGGAGACTCTCCCTCCATGTGCTGCGGTGACCAGGGGAGGGAGGAAGCTGTTTGGCAGCCTGGTGGCCTTGGCCAGTCCTAGAGCCCTGGGAACACCTCCAAGGGCAGCCCAATCTTGAGCGTGGAGCAAAGGCTCCAGGTGGGACAGGCAGGGACCCACCCCTCCCTCAGGTGCCTGACGGGCCGGGGAGGACACCTGAGGACGGGAGACAGCCCTAAGTGCTGGTGCCAGGCTGGGCCCAGCCAGAGGGGCACAGGGGAACTCAGGGAGGGCCTCACGGAGGAGACTCTGGACAGAAACTAGGAGGAAAAGGAAAAGAGAGCAGAGAGCCTGGAAAAGGCTCAGGGCCTTGGCAGGGGCCATCCACCTTGCCAGCGAACAGGCATTTTAGGGTGCCTACCGTGCACCACGCACTGGGCTCACTGCTCTGAGTACAAAATGAACTATGAGGGGGGAATAACCAGGCCCACCAGGAATGGCAGAGTAAATGCAAAGGAGTCTCTTGGGAAGTCTTCTAGGAGGCAGAGAAGTCCAAGTGGGCTTCCTGTGGGGGGTGAGCAGGGTGAGCCAGGAGGGCAAGGCGCTTGGGCAGAGGCTGGGCTGGTGAGCTTGGGGGTGAGCCCAGCAGGGTCAGGGTGAGCCAGAGCCGGATGTAACAGGGAGCCATCAAAGCTCGAGTGACAGCAGCATTTCATCCAGAACTTCTTGTTTCCTGCCCGGTGGAATTCTCCCCAGCTCTGGTGCCCTCCTTCCCCAGAGAGCCTGCCCCACCTCCTCAGGGCTGTCTCCCTCCTCCCGGGAGCTTGTCTCACCTCAACTCTATAATTCATAATGATAATAGTAATAACTAGCATGTGGCATTGTAAGGTTTCCAAGCCACTTGATGAACAGGGTCTCATTAGGTGCTCACCACAACCTGGGGGAGGAAGGGACTACTGGTATCTCCAAATGACAGATGAAGTTGAGGCAGCCACTCTGGGAAGTGATTGGCCCCAGGCCTCACAGTGGGTGAGACAGGATTGGAACTCAGGTCTTCCTGTTTCCAAGTCCTGTGCTTTATCCATGCAAGCCTCTTTAGGACAGGGGCACTTTGCCCCTTGTGTGTCCCCAGGGCTGAGCATTCAGAAGACCCTGAAGTGGGTTAGTGTTTTAAAAGCATTTTCCTCACACTCCGCCTTGTGAAATAGGGAGTGCAGTCTACTTTTATCCCCATTTTACGGAGGAGGAAACTCAGGGGTTAGGTGACTTGTCCCAGATCACAGAACCAATATGTGGCAGAAGCAGGATTTGAACCAGGGCCTCCTAACTCCACCATTTTGGCATCTGAGTCCCCTCTGCTTGCAGTGTTTGCAGGGTTGAAGAATATAAGAGGGGTCCCCAAGCAAGAGACAGAGGAGCCATGCGCTCTGGGTAGAGACCATGGTGGGCTGACAATGAGGACAGGGCACCCTTGTCCTGCCCTGAGAAAGGGGTGGGATGTAGAGGGAGCAGCTCCAGTATTGTCAGAGGGCCTGAGGCAGTGGCCAGGCTCTGTTCCTCACTCACCACGTGACCTTGGGCAAGTCCTCACCTTCCAAGCCTTCACCTTCTGCATTCTTGGACCAGACGGTCTGTCTCCGAGGTCCTTCCCGGCTCCAAGGTTTAATGGTTCCATTCTCCTAAATGTGGGGTGATGGCGGTCCTGCTGGCAGCTGCCTTGGGGGACTTGGCCAGAATCAGTCGCTCTTGGGAGCCAGGAAGACCCTCTGCACTTGGACATGAGACACGTGAATGCAGTGACAAGGAAGAAATCACCCAATTGGCAGGCATTTTTAAACTAAGTTTTTGATATTTTCTGTTTCTTAAATCACCATGGTATCCCAACGACCCCTTTCCATGCCTCCCAGACAGCCATCCAATGGTACATCGTGTTTTTTAGAAAGGAAAAAGGTCAGCATCGTTGACCCGCGGTGACCCGTGCGGACTTCCCCTCCACCAAGGGCGGGGAGTGGGGTGTTGCCTCATCCCTGCTCGGTCAAGACCGGCTTCATCGTTGTCGTCGTGTCCGTTCGCCTCGTCCTCCTTTCTTGGCTCTGCTCACTCCCCTCGGTAGCGGTCCACGCAGACCTTTCCAGCTTCTCTGCGTCCATCGCACTCGTCGTTTCTCACAGCGCAGTAGGTGGCCGTTCCCCAGCAAGGGCTGTCAACTTAGTTACCAGCCCTTCGCTGTCACAAGAAGTGCTGCTGTGCATGTTTTGGAGCTTGGGAAGACATCGTCGGTGGGTCTGCGCCCAGAATGGAGTCTCTGCTTCAAAGAGTCCGACGTTTTCGTCTCTTTATTTGCGGCATTTCAAGTTGCTTTCCAGGATTGCTGCACCAACAGTGTTAGTGTCTACCCACAAACCTCCAGCGCTGACCCTTGCCGTTTTTGCCAATCTGCAGAGTATGAGGTGAAACCTCAGGATTGTGTTGATTTGCATTTCCCTTATTAGTGATTTGGCGCATTTTTTTTCATGTGGTTGTGACTACTTTGCAGTCCTTTTGGGAACTGTTTGTTCATCTCCTTTGACCACCGGGGTCCTTGGGGAATGGTTATCGTCACACACATCCTCTAGCCAACGCTGTCAGAGGTA